GTGGGTAGGTGCTCCCTCCACTGTGTGAATGACATTGTGGGTAGGTACTCCCTCCACTGTGTGAATGACATTGTGGGTAGGTGCTCCTCCACTGTGTGAATGACATTGTGGGTAGGTGCTCCCTCCACTGCCTGACTTTTTCTGCACTGTGAACATTGAGAAGAGCTGCAGTGGGCTTTGGGGGAGACTTCCATAGGTTAATTCTGGCTCTGCCCATTAGATATGTAAACTTGGATGAATAGCTTAGCTTTTTTTGTCCTTAGTTTCCTCATTTTTGGTAAGAGAAACAACAGTATTTTCCTCCTAGGACAGTTTTCGAGACTTATACATTCATGTAAATAGTAGTACTGGCTCATTTATGTAACATTCAGTGCAATTATGATGATGATGATTTGGCATTTGCTTTCTGTTTTAGGTTTTTTGAGACAGGATCTTTCTATGTAACCCAGGCCATCCTGGAACTTGCTACATAGATCAGGCTGGCCTCAAACTCAGAGATTTGCCTGTCTCTGCCTCCTGAGTGCTGGGATTAAAGATAAACACAGCATCACAACCAAAGTAAAATAATTAAAAATAAAAGAATCAAGATTTGATTTAAAAAAAAAAAACAAAAGTATCGACTGTAAGCTTTGGGAAGGAGATGTAGAATGCCTAGGACATTTTATAATGCCAACAACCAAAGAATGCCATGTTATATCAAGAGGACGTATATCCAGGTGGCGGTGTGCACGCCTTTAATCCCAGCACTAGTGAGGCAGACATAGGTGGTCTCTGAGGTTGAGGCCAGCCTGGTCAACAGAGTGAGTTTTGGGTCTACAGAATAAGTTTCAGAAGACAGCCAAGGGTAGTAACATTTCAAGTCTCATAGTTATTGGATGTAAGTAGCCACGCCCATTACTGACATTTAGAAACAGAACTTAAGTAAGTCCCACTCCTTTAATACTGCACAGAACCTCACTGGGTGTTAGGCACCTAAAAACAATCACAGAGCTGCATTTGCAAGGCCATGAAAGGTTTTCTTGCCTACCCTTCTAACTGCAGAAACTTATAAAAAAGGACATGAATGATTTTGAGACATGTCAGAATCACTTTATGTTGGAAAAAATTAGTCCAATGTGTTTATCCCACTTAAGGCTTAGAAGGCGGGTTCAGAAGAGAAACCGGCTGACACCTGCAAATACTTCAGGGAGTGAAGTAGAAAATGTGTGCCCGGTTTCTTGTGTTTGAGACAAGATCACCCTATGCTGACCCAGCTCTTGTTGAACTTCTAGGCTGAAGTGACCGGTTTGTATCACGGTACCTTTTAGTGGGGCTCTTTCAGACAGGATCTTACTATGAAATCCTGGCTAGCCTGGGACTATGAAGCCCTGGCTGTCTGAACTCACAGAGAAAGGCCTGTCTGTCTCCTGAGTGCTGGGATTAAAGGCGTGCACCACCACCGCCCAGCCCGGGCATCTTCTTAAAGCCAGCACAAGATAAACGTTTGTGTGGTTATTTAAATTCTGATATACAGTAAAGGCAAGTGTTAGATCCAGAAAACAGAATCATTTCATTATTATGGGATGTTACCTAACGTCATGAGAGCAGCAATCAACAACCATCCCGCCTGTGTGCGCTGCAGGGACAGGCGGCTGTTCTGAGCAGCAGAACACAGCAAATCCTCTGCTAATGCCATGACAACCTGTGGAGAGAACACCGGAACAGGGGGCAGGTCACCAGTCAGTAGGCAAGCGAAGAAACGAATCACAACCTCTGGAGAATCGGCTCTCATGTACAGTGGAGTATAAAGTACACGATAGGACAGCACCCAGGAGACTAAGGCAGTTTTCAAGGTCAAATACTAGAAGGTGAAACTGTACACAGACAAGCACAGTGCTTGGCGGCCCACAGGGACAGGACTGCAGGCCATTCAGAGTGCAGCTGTCTACACTTCCCACTCACTTTGCTTTAAGCAGTTAACCTCTTCGGCCAGTACTCATCAGAAAGATTCATCTTAGACGTTTCCCTTTATAAGATTCTATACACTTGATACCTTAGAGGCTCATATAATGGCCCCCCAAAGCTGTGGAGCGAGAGTCCATAAACTGTTACATTTTAAAGGTCTCTAAAATGGATGGTGTGAACAGCAGAGAAATAAGCAGGTACTCAAATGCGTGCATCCTGTATGTTTAAAGAGCCCCGAGTCTGAGGAAGAATCTGCTACCACTTGGCCCTGGACAGATGGCAAGCTCAGGAGAGAGAGGCATCTACAGTTCCTCAAGGACAGTCCCACAGGCTACGCACAGCCTTCACAGCGGACAAACGACACCCAGAAACAGGGAGGCCAGAACAACCATTTCGGTCAAACCAGGACAAGCGGCATTTTCTCAGCAGGAATTTCACATGAGGTCAGAATTAATGAGATCTGAGGACAAACTTACTAATGCCCACAACGATGATAACATGTTAACTCTGACTGTAACTAAACAGAGGGGCTGGAGAGATGGAGCGGCAGCTAAGAGCACCTATTGCTCTGGCAGAACACCCAAGTTCAGTTCCCAGGCTCACACGGTGGTTCACGATCATCTACAACTCCGTTTCATGGGATCCACCACTGTCCTCTCTCTGTTCTCGGCGGGCACCAGGCACGAATGCGGTGCACAGACACACACAGGCAGAACACTCACACACACAGGATGAAAGGCACTTCTCCACGTTGTCACCTACTTTACTAATGACACTGATAATGCTAAAGATACGTTTGGAATTTCTGAAATTTTTATAGAGGACATATTATAAAAATCAGTAATAAAGTTATATATATAAAACTCCTTAATAGAACCCTGATTCCTTTTTTGTTTGTTTGTTTTTGTTTTTGTTTTTCTCCCCTAAACAGGGTCTCTTTGTGTAGCTTTGGCTGTCCTGGAACTCACTCTGTAGACCAGGTTGGCCTTGAACTCACAGAGATCCACCTACCTCTGCCTCCCGAGTGCTGGGATTAGAGGCATGCGCCACCACGGCCCAGAGAACTCTGATTTCTTTTTCAGGGAGAGGGGAAAGACACTTACAGTCTCAGTTTCATCATTAAGATATTCCCTATTACTGGTTTATTACTGCTTTTAGTAGAAAGAATGAGGCTGTAAGTATTTATTTTGAAGAAATGAAATTATGAGTTCATAGTGATAATTTCAATTTAACATGTGGGCTTTTATTTAACTTTCTTGATTCTGTAACTATAGCTCTCTTTTTTTCTTATATGGAAAATCTCAGCTCCTAAAAATATTAATTATTTATCTACTTTATACAACCATATGTAAACTAATTCAGAAGTAAAAACACCAATATTGACAATAACTGTAAGTTTATTGAATGGCATTCAGGTTTTCTTTCATAAATCTATTTGTCCTTTGTCTTTTTTTTTTTGGAGGCAGAGTTCCACTACACAGTCCAGGCTACTCGCCAACTCCTGATCCTTACAGGTGAGCACAGCCAGGATTGTAGTGGTATTTAAAGAGCAAGAGACATACACACTATTGAGAAACCAGAGCGTTCAGTGGGATTTTAAACAGATTACATGGCGAGGCTAAATACACTGCAAATTCTGTTGTTACACAGAGATCCTTCTAATAAAAGCATGGGAAGTGTCCCTTTCCTCACCCCAGTGGGGTCAAAGCCAGGACCTGTGCACACTGTACTCATCTGTGAGGTGTGCATTCTCGGTCAGGAAGTGCTCCTTGAGAAAAGGGAGGACAACCATCACTTTCCAGAGAGACTGTGTTGCTAGTGTTCAACATGAGGACTAATCAGGCAACTGCTTAAGACAGCCGTCCCGCATGACCTTAACTGGGGGACACACCAACAGCAACCCACTTTCAGGGAAATCTGAACACATGCCTCCAGAGAGAATGAAATCATTACCTTGCCCTTTCCATGAGGAATTCCTAAAGGACAGTGCGTCACTGCACCTAGCAGAGCCGCCACAGCAAAACTAAAGCCAGTCACTGCTTCCGGTGAAGACTTCAGTACCGCGATCCGTTCTAGGCACCGGTCTAAGAGAGGTGTCAGCTGGGAAGGCAAGGCCACGGTGATGCAGCGCAAGCACCACGCTGCTGCCAGTCGGACAGAAAGGCTAGGGTGCAGGGCCACCGCAACGACACTGTCCAGGAGGCCTGCAAGGGAGCACAGCAATCGCTTATGAACAGACAGAACTCAAGCCGCACGACAGTCAATACAATGACAGCCACCTCTACACAAAATATACCACTTCTGCGAAAAGCCAAATGACAATGAAGAAGGTGAGACATAGTTAAACATTTTTTTTGTTTGTTTGTTTGTTTTTCTTTTCTTTCTTTTTTTTTTTTTTGAGGCCAGCCTGGTTGACAGAGTGGGTTCTGGGACAGCTGGGGCAAAGAAATCCTGTCTTGAAAAACAAAACAATGAAACAAAACCTGAAAAATTATTCTAACACAAGTGAGAAAAAAGTGTTTGTCTTCTGTGGTTGGCTGATTCACCGAACGTAAGGTGAAATCACTGACATCCATGTGCTTGCAAATGACAGGATTCAATTCCCTTTTTATTACTAAATAGTATTCCATTTCAAAAACTAAACCAAGCTTGGCAGATTGAGTTTGACTCCCAGAACCCACAAATGGAAAGAGAGAACAGACTTTGGCCATCCTAACTTCCACTCACGTGCCTACATATGTGTACAATAAATAAATATTTTTAAATGGCATATAAACTAGGCAGGACAGGCCTGCAATCCTGGCATTGGGGAGTCTGAGGCAGGAGGATAGCAAGTTTGAAGCCAGTCTGAGAAATATAGCAACTTCATGGGCAGCCTGAGCTACAAAGACCCAGTATTTTTTTTAAATGTTTGTTTGTTTTTTGAGACAGGGGTTCTTTGTGTAACAGCCCTGGCTGTCCTGGAACCCACTTAACAGATCAGATTGGCCTTGAACTCTGCCTGTTTCTGCCTCCTGAGTGCTGGGATCAAAGGCATGCACCACCACTGGCTCGTTTTTTATTGTTTAATGTAGAGGTCACTACTAGCAATAGCTCATTAAAATGGGCTTATGCTAAATCAATACACAAAAGAAAACTTTTATTTCTTGGTGTTTTTCATATTTTACCTTGAGATCATTAATTCAGTATTGTATCAGGAACTAAAATTACCAATACATAACAAAACCACCTTTAAACCCTTTTAAAGAAAGATGACTTTTATTACTTCTAATCATGCGTATGTTCATGTGAGCGTAGGTACCTGCAGAGGACAGAGGCAATGGATCCCCCGAGCTGGAGTTACAGGCAGTTGTAAGCTGCTTGACATGGGTGCTGGGTTGGAACTCAGGGTTACGTTCTGAAGTTTCTTTCTCCTCTAAAAACACCTCTCTAGCACATTACAGACACAGTAAAATACTTCTTATCTACTGATGGCTCTTCTCTGAGAGCAAATTCTTTTTTAATTTATTTTATTTTTTAATTTTATTTGATGTATATGGGTGTTTTGCATGAATATATGTCTGTGCACAAACATGCTCAGGACCCACAGAGGCCAGAAGAAGATACTCTAGAACTGGAGTCACACATGGGTGGGAGCCACCATATGGGTGCTGGGAACTGAACCCAGGTCCTCTGGAAGAGCAGTCAGTGCTCTTAACTGCTGAGCCACCTCTCCAGCCCCGAGAGCAAATTCTAAAATCAAGATTTCACCAGGACCTCAGTGGTCTAACCCACTAACTCACTAACACTATAGAGTATAGTGAACAGCAGAAAAGTTTCTCTTTATTATGATTCAAGGCAGACCTTCTTTGAAACATGGAAGTTCCTGCCAACTGCTATAGAAATTTAAAGAGCCTACAAACACAAATATGATGTAAACACAAAGGTACGCAGTTAGAAGGAACCATGACAAAGAACAAAGCCACAGAAGGGACTATAAATAAGACACCAGCCACTAAAGACCACGTTTCATTGACACGAAACGTCTTAAGTACGCAAACGGACAGAACTGGGAAGAACATGAGTAGTTATCGGCTGGGAAAGGCAGGTAGGCATGGCCACTGACAGATATACTCTTTCCTGGTGATTAAAACATTCTGCAGTTAAGCAGGGTGGGGAACTTCCTGCTATCTGAGGATGCCACACTGTTGACAAATTATTCTAAAAGGTGGAAAATTGTCTTCAGAATGAAATAAAGGCTACTTATTAAATAAGATCTCTGAGGCAATGACTGTAGGTACATTACAGGCAGTGAGGTTTCCACTGTAGGGGAGAGGTCCAGGCTTACTTCTAAGTTTTTCCATTACAATAAACGTCTTCAGAAAGAGGAATGAGTCAGAAAAAACTTTCTCAGCTTTTTGTAAAGACAGGATCTCACTAGGTAGCGTTTGCTTTCTGAGTGCTGAGATTAAAGGTGTGCACTTCAGAGAAAAACAATGAAAGCATGAAATTTGCAGGCAAATGGATGGAACTAGAAAAAATCATCCTGAGTGAGGTAACCCAAACCCAGAAA